AGTGAGTAGGAAAAGGTTCATGAGAGTAGTAGACAGGTTTTAGGTCATGCCCAGCACTATAGCCAGAAAAAGTATTTGTGTTTCTCTGTTTCTACAACAGTTAATAAGTTGTTTTTTCTCCCTTCTATTTGAATATAGCCTTGCTGGAGGCTGGGTCCTCCAAAAGTGTCTGCCATGTTTCATCCAACACATGCCAACACTCAGGAATGTGGGGGATATTAGTTTTGTCTTTTATAATTATACTAGCCTGTTATTTGGGATAAAGATTTCATAATGCAAAACTTCTGAGTCATATAACAAAATGGTTCAATCAGAATAGATCTCTTCTTTATTTTGCCATTTTATAATCATGGTGGACTTGGCCAACCATGGAAGCCTTTCTTCTTTTATTTTTTCATTTTGCCAGACCTGGGGCTTGACCTCTGGGCCTGGGTGCTGTCCCTTAGCTTCTGAAAATCTTGTACTCTACCACTTGAGCAACAGATGAACTTCTGGCTTTTTGTGGTTAATTGGAGGTAAGAGTTTTCACAAACTTTTCTTCTTGGGCTAGCTTTGAACCAGGATCATCAGATCTCAGCCTCCTGAAGAGCTAGTATTACAGGTGTGATCCACCACTGCCCAAATTGCCTTTTCTTTTTAAATGAAGAGTGCTCTTTGTCAGTCATGGGACTTGAACTCTGGGCCTGGGCACTTTCTCTCAGTTCTTTAGCTCAAGGTGAGCGCTCTACCACTTGAGCCACAGTGCCACTTCCAATTTTCTGGTGGTTAATTGGAGATAAGAGTCTCACAAACTTTCCTTACCTGGGCTGGCTTTGAACTGCAATCTTCAGATCTCAGCCTCCCGAGTAGCTGGATTACAGGCACAATCCACCCAGTGTTTGGTTAGTCATTCTTTCAGTATCGGTGTTATCAGCCTAATGCATTTTGTCCTCCTCTGTGTAATGACTCACTACTTTCTCTGGCACCTCACATTATTTCTGGGATTATATTTTCTTCTACTATGAGCTCACTGTTACACCTGGCAACATTCTTATTGCAAGTTAAATTTTATAAAAGGCAAATCCTAGTATTGTATGACTATATTTTGGTTGGAAGCTCTTATATGGGTAATTAAAATACTGAACTTGACTAGTAAATGTTGTACCTGGAAATGGTGTGTGTGTGTGTGTGTGTGTGTGTTGGTCATGGGGCTTGAACTCTGGGCGTGGGTGCTGTCCCAGAGCTTTGTGTTTGCTCAAGTCTAGTGCTCTACCACTTTGAGCCAAAGCTCCACTTCCAGTTTCCTGGTAGTTAATTGGAGTCTCACAAATTTCCTGCCCTGGCTGGCTTTGAATTGCAATCCTTAGATATCAGCCTCCTGAGTAGCTGGGATTACAGGCATGAGTACCAGCCTGGAAATGTTCTTTCTTTAGTTTTGTCAACCACAGGAAGATGAGTTTGGGTGAAATAATCTACCACTTGGATCTTAACTATTTTCTGTTTATTCTCCAGATATGTACATTATGGTCTATATAAATAACTTCCATTGTGCAATTATAGCCTCAGCCATTTCACAATTAGGGCAAACTAACCATTTCCATCTGAGGTCTACTTTTAAAGGAGTCAGGGAGTCTGGTCAGTAAATCTAAGTCATTTTAAGGATAGTCTATTTTCTAAAACACAGTTTTATTATTAATTAATGATTTAGAGGCTAGAAATGTCTTTCCTCATTGCTTCCCTCCCTCTCTCCCTGTCTTTCTCCCTCCCTCCCTTCCTTCCTTTCTATATATAGGCTATTTATACAGGAAACTTATCTTCTCAGAGTTGATGTCTCAAAATGCAGAGTATATACACATACGTGTATATGCATATATTTCCTGAGAACTAGAAAAGTTTACCTGAGACTTTACAGAGAAAATAAATGACTGGAATGAGGGAAAGCCTCCCTCCATTTTTTTTTTGGGTCCGGTCGTGGGGCCTGAACTCTGGGCCTGGGCGCTGTCCCTCAGCTCTTCAGCTCAAGGCTGGGCTCTACCACTTGAGCCACAGCTCCACTTCCGGCTTTTTTCTTTTTGCTTATGTGGTACTGAGGAATTGAACCCAGGGCCTCAGGCATGCAAGGCAAGTGCTCTACCACTGAGCCACCTTCCCAGCCCATCCCTCCATTTTTTTTTTTTAAAGAGAATCATCCTGGAATATCATGGCTATTCACAGCGTTCTTGAGACTGGCTTGCAGAATGTATAGTGAGATAAAATCTGTGCTACTGGAAGTCTGTCTTACCACTATATTTCTGCTGTAGATAAATAACAAGCTTTTAAAATCATGATTCATGATTTCCATGAGTAACAACCTGTTGTCCAATAAATTTTTATTGGTTTCTTATTTACATTTTTTTCTTGATCACTTTGCTTTAAGAGATGTCTAGGGGATAGAAACTGTTTACTTTGCCTTATATACACATTAGCCTAATCTTCTTTAATACTATAATATTATTTTTTGATACTGGTGTTTGAACTTAGAGTTTGGAGCTTGTCAGGTAGGCATGCCAAACTTGAGCCATGCCACCAGACTCTTTAGTATTCTTTAATTCCTGTTCATCAGTAACAGAGATTGTTCTGTTGTAAGTTTCCATATGTCATTCTATTTTGTAATTGGTGTTACAAATATAATAAAATATGTACAATTACAATAAATTGTCAAAAGAAACTCACAAATATTAAATTCTCTAAAAGTTATAATTTGATTCTCACTTTCAAACTAGATTACCTTTCAAGATACATCAAAGTGGGCTGGGAATGTGGCTTAGTGGTACAATGCTTGCCTAGCATGCATGAAGCCCTGTGTTCAATTACTCACTACTACATAAACAGAAAAGTCAGAATGGCTCTGTGGCTCAAGTGGTAGAATACTAGCCTTGAGGGAAAGAAGCTCAGGGACAGTGCCCAGGCCCCAAGTTCAAGCCCCAGGACTGGCAAGAAATAAAAGATATATCAAAGTACCAACTGGCACATCTATGTCTGTAATTACTTCAAAGGTCCATAGCTTTCAGAAATAATAAGTAGAATTGGGGCATACAGCTCAGTGGTAGGATACTAGCTCTAGCATGGATGGACAAAAACTTAGGTCCAATCTCCAGCATACTAAAAACAAAAAACCAAAACCCCCCTCAAAACATGTGTTTGCTTTTTTCATCTTTCTGACTTGGAGCAACTAGAAATTATATAACTGATAAAACGTCATTAATGCAACCACTTACTTTATTTGAAAGAGTTAATTTAAGCATCTATTCACTGTAACCTTGATAGTTTATTCTATTTTAAATATTGATGATAAACTATGAGTAAATTGTCACACTGGCTTCCATTTAAGGAAACATGAAACACAAAAAGACTTGTATGAAAACCCACTAGTTTAATACTATAATCGCATGTTGGATTTCACTTAAAGTGTTCTAGCAGAAAGAAAAACTTTGGAAATCCTATATTTTCCCCGATTCTTTATTTTTCCCTTTCCACATGAATGTTCTTGATCAACGTTCAAATGCTCAGAGGACTCATTCCACTCACTGAATTCAGAGGTCTTTCAAATAAGTCATTACCTAGTCTCATGTAAGTTGTCTAGTGAGTCATATTCTGCAGTTACTTTTCTTCTTTCCATGGTAGGTTAAATAAATGATTCTTTCAAGGAGCACCTTTTCAGAGCACAGATCGTAACAAGCAGATTTTACTTTTGTGTGAGCATTTTAGGATACAAAGATAAATTGAAATGCATAAATGATATGGAAATTTTAAACACAAATTTTTTTTTACTTGAGGCACTGTAAGTGCAACAAAACTCAGTACCCTTGTTCTGCAACAGGAACCAAATTTACATAAGAACTTCATTGCCAATGTCTGATTCTGGATTGGGATTTAGTTTAGCAGTAGAGTGATGCCTAGGTGTTTGAAGCCTTGGAACACACAAGCATGATTTAACATTTATCCTACAAATGAACAAATGTAAGTGAACCTATTTTGTTAGACTCTATTTGTTAGCTATGACAACTGCCATAATAATATAAAAGTAAGTATATTTGGGTGTGACATGCATATTTTCAAAACACTTCAACATTTTAATGCTATGGGGAATATAAAACACAAATCTCTGATTTTTCCATAAAATGTAGTATGGAGGGTCAAATAATTAAAATTGTGTCATCTGAATCAAATGAGATTTAACCAAGACATCACCAGTTAGTCATTTTTAAGTTACATAATCATCATGTACGGTTAGAAAGGAAATTATATTAATATTTGTTTCAGAAGTATGATATAAAAATGTGATAGGATATTTCCATTAAGACATACAAAACAGCAATTTTCCCATAGTAAGCATTTTCAAAAAATTTTCACAGATTAAAAGGAATCAAAATTAATATTTTTCTGCATGTTAAGAGTTGGAATAGTTTAAATCATGAGCCGGAACACAATGATTGTAGTTTCATAAAATAGAAATAATTATTAGAGGAAGAAAATCACAGGTGCAAATACAAAAAAAAAGAAGATAAATACTACTTACAAAAAAGGTAAATACGCTACTTACCCATTTAGCCACATGATGTCGCTGTCCACCACAAGTTCTTTCTACACAAAAGAGATGCCAGCTTGACTGCATTGCTTATTCATGTGACGCTTTCTTTTCATCACCACTGAAATATTATTTTAAGTGTAAGGAGTTTAAGGAAGGAGTAAGGATCCCTGGTTTCTTAAATTTTCAATCGATGTAAGCGATCAACTATTTGAAGACGCTTGCAATGGTGTTTTACTGGAGAGAAGATCCTGGAGCTCAGCGCTTTTTGTTCTCCTTTCTGCTCCTTGCAATTTGGGAAGCAGGGAGCGCCCAGCTCCATTACTCGATCTTTGAAGAGGCCAAACACGGCACTTTCGTGGGCCGCATCGCGCAGGACCTGGGACTGGAGCTGACAGAGCTGGTGCCGCGCCTGTTCCGGGTGGCGTCCAAGCGCCGCGGGGACCTTCTGGAGGTAAATCTGCAGAATGGCATTTTGTTTGTGAATGGTCGGATCGACCGGGAGGAGCTGTGCGGGCGCAGCGCGGAGTGCAGCCTGCACCTGGAGGTGATCGTGGACAGGCCGCTGCAGGTGTTCCACGTGGAGGTGGAGGTGAAGGATATTAATGACAATTCACCTGTTTTCCCAATGACAGTAAAGAATCTGTTTATTTATGAATCTCGACAGCTTGGGTCGCGGTTTTCACTAGAGGGCGCAGTGGATGCAGATATCGGAACAAATTCATTGTTGACTTATAACCTTGATTCCACTGAGTATTTTACTTTGGACGTTAAAAAAAATAATGAGGACATAAAATCCCTTGGACTCATATTGAAAAAACTTTTAAATCGAGAGGATACTCCCGAGCATCATTTACTAATAACAGCAACAGATGGCGGGAAGCCAGAGCTTACTGGCACTACTCAAGTGAAGGTCACAGTCCTAGATGTAAACGACAATGCTCCAGTATTTGAGAGGACGCTCTACAGAGTCAGATTATTTGAAAATGCACCAAATGGTACTCTAGCAGTGACTGTTAACGCCTCTGATTTGGATGAAGGAGTAAATAAGGACATTGTATATTCTTTCCACGCAGACATATCGGCTGAGATTCTGTCGAAATTCCACTTAGATCCTGTCAATGGATGTATCAGAGTAAATGCTAACCTAGATTTTGAGGAAACCAAATTATATGAAATCGAGGTAGAGGCGACAGACAAAGGAAATCCCCCAATGACAGATCATTGCACAGTTCTAGTGGAAATTGTGGACATAAATGATAATGCACCCGAATTAGTAATCAAGTCACTAGCATTGCCGGTATTAGAAAATTCTGAAGTTGGGACTACCATTGCCCTGATCAGCGTGTCGGACCGTGATTCAGGTACCAACGGACAGGTGACCTGCTCCCTGACGCCTGACACACCCTTCAAGCTGGTGTCCACCTTCAAAAACTATTATTCACTGGTACTGGATAGCACTCTGGACCGAGAGACCACCTCTGAGTATAAGGTGGTGGTGACCGCGCGTGACGGGGGCTCGCCTCCGCTGTGGGCCACCGCCAGCGTGTCGGTGGAGGTGGCCGACGTGAACGACAACGCGCCCGTGTTCGCACAGGCCGAGTACACGGTGTTCGTGAAGGAGAACAAC